CGCCGGCCTAGCCTTGGATGAAGAAGCTTCCGGGTCCTCGGAGACGGGCTCATCGAGCAAAGCCTCGCGAGCCTTCTCTCGTTCGTCTTTGATGATGGCGAGTCTCCGCTGTTTTGTTGACATTGTTTTCCAAAGAAAAGGTGGAATACTGTCGGGTTTGCTCGATCCTGAATACCTTCGGGCTTTCACACCCCCCGCATCGTAATGAGCACCTCCATCTTTGGGAACAAAGGTGTCCTTGCTGGTCTTCAAATCAATAACTTTGACCATCTCCTCCGATGCGGGTCCCTTTTTGGGGGAATCTTTGATCAGCTTTCCGAGGCTTTCAGCGAGTTCCTGATCATCGATGTCATCCTGGCCTGGCATCTCTGCCGGCAAATCCTCCTCCAAGAGCGGCGCATCCAATGCAGCTGGATCGGGCGTCTCAGGAGCGTATTCAAGCCCCGGCATAACGCCGTTCATGTGCAATAAGTGCCGTTCGACCATTGGAAAAGAGAATTCGCCATCTGGACATTTGATTTGATTTACCCTCAAAGGAGCAATAGGTTGATCATAGTCCTTCTCCATCAAATCTCGCAAAGGAATAACGAGAAATTCATGACGCCAAAGAAAGTCAGGATGGATGGGATACCCCAGAAATATTCCAGCCCTGGAAGTAGGTTCAAACTTCAAAGGCTTGTTGGGTCGATTCCTCGGGCCGGTCCAAAAGTTGACTTGACAACCAAAGGGCAAGTATGGTCCGGGAAAATCTTCTCCAAAACGTACTTTCCATGGTGAATAATAATCTGAGTGGTCCGTGATGTTATGCGCCATGCAATAGTGTTTGGCGGCATGTGGCCAATACGAATGATGCAAACCAGCTTGTTCCAGGTTGGTCCTCGTGCCCTCGATAATCGCCCTGACGTTCCTCTCAGCAATAGCATTTGTTTTGGAAATGTAGTTTGTACTTTGAACATGCTTCCATTCCAATTGATCTGCCGCTTTCACAAGTTCAGGAGCCCGATCACTGTAAAACACGTTCACGGTTTCCCCGGTGCGGACAAAGTGCTTGAATGCCATCACACACTGATGAGAGGTTTTCCGTGCTGCTGGGTAAACATAACGGAAGTCAGTGGCAACATCTCGAACAACAAGTGCAACTCTAGATTGGTCAATGCCGATTTCACGATCATCTGATGTAATAAGATGGTCCGCCGTGAGGTGATCACCAAACTTCTTGGCCTCGACTTGAGTGGAACCTCCCTTCTGTCTTGATGGATATTTGTACATCTTCGCCCTGTTGCAAGTCTCACAAAAGGGGTTTTTGGGAGTGTGACACATCAAGTGCTGGAGTGAGGTCGCCTCATCACGCAAAGCTGCTTCACCGCGTTCGCGAGGGGCGTCCTTCAAAATAGGCTTCGACACAAAATCGGAAGCGATGACCTTAGGCGCATCTTCGGAGGGAATGTCATGGCACTCTTCAATGACCTCACCTTCCGGTTGGCTAATGGTGTCCTCAAGCAAGAAATCATCGTTCCCCAATTCATCCCCATCATCCTCATTGGTCACAAGCACCTCTTCAACAGCTTCGGGTTCCTCGTCAATGACCAGAACTTCATCATCGATTTCAATGGGAGCTGATGGTAATGATGTAACCTTTGGAATGCTCTGTGACAAAGCTGGAACAGCATCTTGAGTTGCTGGGGGAATGAATGGGACATTGTCTTTGACCTCGAGCTTGATGCGTGAACCATCCGGAAGTCGAAAATAAGGCCTGCTGTGGGCTCTCCAAACGAAATCATATCCGTCCCTGAGGCATCTCATGCCCACGGATAACACGGATGGAGCCTTGTCAAGAACATATGGCCGAACAACACTATCGGTCTGTTGGATCTTGACCCTGGCCTGCTTTGTACCGATGATATTCCCATTAGCTGTGGAAAATTTCAGAGGCTGAGACGATTCGTAAATACATCCCATCTCCGCATCGGTCCCCGATAGCAAGTCCTGAGAAGCTCCTGTATCTGCAATCCACGGAATGTGAGAAGAATCCATTGTCATTCGAGCAACAGCGGCTTTCCCCTTTTTGGGGGAGGTCACGGACTTCTCTGGCTCGGCCGTTAGGCCTGCGGGGATGCAGGAATCACAACCGAAATCAGAGTCGCATTGAAATTTGCAAGAAGTCTTCGTTCCTTTGAGCAAATCCTTCGTCATAGCTTCATGCATGGTGCCGATAAGAATTGCGTCATAGACGGCTCTCTCATCGTACTTCGGAACATAATCAACAGGAAACTCGTGTGCAAACCTTCTTGACGAGGCAGTGTAGGGCCAAAGCTCGCCGTCAGTCTCATAGTTCGAAATGGATGGGTAATCAGAAAATTGCACGCATTTCTTGATGCATGGCATACACTGGAAAACATCGTGAGTCACACTAGGCAAGCAAGGATGCGAGGCGACCGAGTCGAGGGTCGCGGCGCACACCATCGCCTGAAGGAGGCACACCGCAGCATTGCTGCCTTTTGACGATCCCGGAGACTTGAGGGACTGAGAACCCTTTGAATCTTTCGAATCTTGAGAAGAAGGCCTGCTATCCTTCTTCCCCTTTTTCTTTTTCTTGTCCCTCGGCGACGTCTTGGGGGTGTCTCCACTAGCGGTCTTCTCGGCCTTTGGGGCTGGAGCTGCCTTGGAAGTTGCGGGGTGCTGCCATGGGCAATCTTTCCCCCTCTCACATCTGTTCGCTTTGAAGAACTTGCACACCTGGGGCTTCGAACCAGGAGGACTCTGCGAACGATACTTCCTTGGCGTCTGGGGTCTGGACCCGCCCTTCTTGCCTTTCCCCTTACCTTTCGGTGCCTTAACATGTTCGAATCGGCAGTCTGAACCATAGGTGCACTGGCCAGTTTGAAATTTGATGCATACACCCTTGGGGATTCCAGGAACTGCAGGGTTGTTCGATGGAGTCCTGCCACGCCCCGTTGTGTTGCTTGACATAGCATCCCGCATGTGAACAAGCCTCTTGCGCTCCAAATAATTCCTCGATGCGTCAATCAAGAATTTATAGGAGTGCTTTTCCGTACCTTCCTCAGCTCGCTCATACTCATTGAGATCATGACTGAGGGGCCGAAACTTTCGAATCTGGCGGTGGAACAGCGCTTCGAGGGTCTTCTCATTTTGCTCATTGCCCATTCCAGCGATGACCGTGTCCCATCTCGTCATGAAATTTCTGAGGTCCTCGTTGATGAGCTGGACAGAGAGCAAGTCCTCAAAGTCGTAAATTGCACCATGTTTGATGTTCGTGCTGAAGTGCTTGTGAACCATCAGAAGAATTTGGCGCCCCCTCGCATAGCGTTTCTCCTTTGCTTCTTGTTCTTTGAAAATGTCCACTTGCCGCGCGAGGTCGCCCTCCAAGATATTCGTCAACGCCGATGCCAGCTTTGCATCAAGATGGACAAACATTCCTGAATCACGAAGGACTTCAACAGTTTGACCTGGGATCCAAGTTGCCTCAATCCATTCGAATGCCTTTTCGGGTTGATCGGAAGTAGCAACAACAGCATCCCTAACTTTGATCCTCCAATTACGGTACTGTTCGGGCTTCGGGAATCGGGGAATCTGAATTCTGTCACCCTCCTTTACACGAACGCGTTCCGCTGTCGGATCGCTCGAATTACCTAGGTGCTTCAGTAGCTTTCGTCGAAAAGATTCATCCGATGCAGTCGAAGTTGATGACGAAGATGACGAGGGAGAAGATGACGGATCTCGTCGCCGGCGTCGGCTACGGTCCTTCTTCTTTTTCTTCTTCTTCTTCTTTTTCTTGTCCTTGTCATTTCCACCATCACCATCATCGCAAGGCCAACCGTCTCCGGTAGCAGCATCGTCCACGGCCCCGGCGGGAACAGATCCGTCTTTGCCGTAGGGGTCGCTCCCGACTTTCGTCCAACTGTGCGAGGAAGCATTCGAAAGTCCGGGTGGAGATGCAGCCAAAGGAACTGTCGGGATAGCCAAGGGGGTAGCTGGTGCCTGCTGAACCGGAGGCGCAGGAGCTGGAGCAGGTTGAGCAGGCGGTTGCTGTTGGTTCTGCATCATCTGCTCGACCATAGCCCTTAGCTCTCTGATCTGCTTCTCCTGCTCGCTGATCGTGTTCATGGCGTTTTGGTACTTCATCTCGGCTTCTCTTTCTGACTTTCATGGTGTTCGCACGCTGCTCCGCATTCATCTGAATCTCGCGTCTCATGGTCTCCGACTGGCTTTGGAGACCGGCAATGATCTCACCATGCCTTGCCTCCGCCAGCTGGGCGACCATGGGACCGGTGTCCTGATTCACGAACTGGTTGAATTGGGCATTGTTCTGGGTAGCGTTGATCTGCTGATAATTCGTCACGTCCTGGTTGATCGTCATTGATGGATCGAGGTGGACGTTCGCAACATGTTGGTTGAACTGATTCATGGACTGTGGCATAGGGTTTCCCCTTGCGAGGTCGGTCTGGGGGTCGTACATGACGATGTCACCATGCCGATGCCGATCTGATCCTACAGGAGAAGGAGATCGAGCACCAGACCGCCCAGCCCTCCCACGGTCACTCCGGGATCGGAGTGATTCGGGGCCCTGACTGCTCAGTGCTTGTCCCTTCCTGATGAGCTCCCTGGCCACTTGGGAGTTTGCTCGACTAGTCGGTTCATATTGCGAGGCGTCCTCATCGCCTGCTGGCTCACCAGGTGTGGGACGCACCTCGGTATGGGGTAGTCCAGGGTCGCCATCCATGGCGTACAACTCTGTACAAAGAGCCGCTTACGGCTGATAACCTATAGAACAGGTTAAACAACCGGGAAGGGTCACAATTGAACCCTGTACTCAGCGCGCTTTTTCCTTGAGCCACGTGCAGTCGTAATGATGAGACTGCACAAGTGAGACATGCATGCATTGGGGTTTACATGGTTGATAAATACATCACGTTGCAAACTACACTTCAGTTCATGTTTATGGCTTACTCAAGACGCCAGCCCAATGTTGGCCCCCCTGCGAAACGGTGGAAGGCGCGGGCTGCGTGGAGGCCTGGGAGCCGAAGGCAAAAGTTAGATGGCACCCAATTCCCCCCTCGCCAACTCGCCAACTCGGTTGCTTTCTGCTCCCCTGCGAAAGGTGACTATTTTTTGGTGGGTGAATTCGGAAAACCCATTCGTTGGCAAAGAGTTAAAGTCCTAACATCCCTTGGCAAAATGCACTGCCAAGTTGGTTTAATTTTTGGTGATGAATGGAGTTTACTGATTCACAAGGGAATTGTGCCATCTGGGGGCCACTCGATTGTAATAGGTTTCAAAAAGGATACGGATGTGAGTTGCCCCACCGACTTAACTGGGTGCTGAATGGCAGGTCTGGGAAAATACACAATTATCCATTCTGGGTCGAACGTTTCATGGGGAAGCTAGCAACAAGTCCGAGCTGCTTGTTTGACGCTAAAACGGTCTTCGCAAAAGGGTGTGGCCCAGGAATTCCGGAGGGGAGCTCAGTGACTCCATGTTCTTAGTACCAACCATTCCCATGCGCAGGGTACCCGGCGTCAACTTTCGACCCAGCCTTGCGCCCAAACTTACGGGCACTGATTCTACTCGGTGACCAAGGGAACCACACTGTACGTACAGGACATGGCTTGAGGCTTTAGCGGTACCTAGTTCAAATTCGGATTGAAAAGATCCAACTCGTTGGTTCCAGCCAAACAGAACAACACTCGCTCACGTACGGGGTTCACCAGGGTATTGTAAATACCCTGCCAAACCTCGGCTTGGTGCACTTTCGTTCTCTCCTCTTGGAACGGGTTTCTGTGCACACCCACATTTGTCAGAAGGTGAAGATATATACCTCTGCCTCTGCACCTAATTCGATCATTATGCCAGAAGCAAAAGATGTGGGACGTTACTCAACATTTAACAACTCAGATACAAGCAAAAAGCGCACCAACACGTTTGTATGTCCCCCCTTTCTTTTGTGTACGTATGTTTGCACATCTACATATAAGCATGTCATGTATACGAGTATATATATATATAGTATATCTAGGGGTTGATTCCCCATTCTTTTCAACCATCGTTCTTTTCAAAAAAATGCTTCCCCTTGGATTCTGCTGGTTTTCTGAAAAGAAGGATCCCTGGAAAGAATGGGGAAGTGTCCCCTAGAATATACATATACTTATTCTATGATATCCGCTTGATTTCTTTTCACCCAACCCTCCCTCCGGACCGTGGCCCTTGCGAGGTTGGAGCTCAGCAAGCTGGCAGTGGAGGCTCCCATGGACGGCAGCCTGAGAGCGCAGTCGCTCGGAAACCATGGCCGTGGTCGACCTCTGGGTGCTGCTCCTTTTCGGTGACACCCCACCAAAAGTTGGTGCTGTTCGTGAGTTTTAGGTGCTTTTTTGGCTGCTAGGTGCTTTTCCTTTTGGTCTCCTTCGAAACAGAAAAATGACAGGTACCACTCTCCAAATGGGAGCCCCCAAAAGAGTTTCTCGTTCTTTTCAGCTTTTATAGCCTCAAACATGGGGGCCCCCAAAGCAAGACACACCAAAATCTGCAAATTTGACAATGTGTCCAACACCTGAAATAAGAATTGGACCCCAAGCAAGTGGCCTACATCATGAGATCGTTCTAGCCCTGAATCGGTGAGCTTGTCATATATAAATTACACCAGCATAGACCCCAGATAGCAATGATTGCACACCAGCACCTCCAACAGCACCCTTCGAAGAGCGTCCCAAACAGCACCCGGCCGTCGACCGAGCACCCGCGCCATCACTAGCACCTCCAACAGCACCCCAAACAGCATCCCAAAACAGCATCTGCAGCAGCACCCCAAACTGCATGCCCCCTGCACCCTGCCGTCAATCTCGCAAAAATGCGCCTGCACCGCCACCCTCAGAGCACCCCAAACAGCACCTCCCCAAACACCCAGCCGCACCCCAAACAGCATCCCAAAACGCCACCTGCACCAGCACCCCAAGCTGCATGCCCCCTTGCACCCTACCGTCAAGATGCAAAAATGTGCCTGCACCGTCACCTGCATGCCCGATAGCACCCGGGCGTCAATATCGCAAATTGCGCCCGCACCGTCACCAGCACCTCAAACAGCTCCCCAAACAGCATCCCAAAACACCACCAGCACCAGCACCCCAAACTGCATGCCCCCGTGCACCCTACCGTCAAGATGCAAAAACACCGTCACCCCCAAAACAGCACCTGCACTAGCACCCCCAAACTGCATGCCCCTAGCCCCTACCGTCAATCTTGAAAAGATGCGCCCGCACTGCCATCAGCACCTCAAACAGCACCCCAATCCGCAAAAACCAGCACCCCAAACTGCACGCCCCTTAGCACCAGCCCATCAATCTCGCAAAAGGGGAAGAATGCAGACCTAGGTGTCCCATGGTCAAAAACTCTCAAATGATCCAACATGTGGGTCATGATCCAAGCTTGGCAAACAACCCTCTCATTTACCCCCTTATTTACTCCTTCTTTGAGGGGTTCCCCTATACAAACAGGTAAGGTCCCGGGATGTCCCGGTCTGCTGGTGAAACCTGTTGATCAACAGCCCCGAGAAAGAACAGAAAGAACCGTATACCAACGCAAAGAAACTTGCTTTGTGGTGCAGAGGGGTTCGTGGAGAGTGGCGTACCTCCCTTTCAAGAGGTATGCCACACTCTCATGAATGCGGCTAGAGGACTCTCGGTGAAGGCACTGGAAGGGTTCCATAAAAGCCAGGGGACCTCTCAGGAATTCGGAGAGGTCCGTGTAAACCCGATTAGGAAAAATGTATGGATGGTAGCTGTGTCCCCCTTAAAAGAGTATCCCAAAATTGGCTTTGAGGTAAGGGCAATCGAGTGGAATCCAGGGAAACGCCGGTGCCGGTGTGCAACAGCAAGATGGATCACAACAGCTCGGACACATACCAATACAATTAGGCATTCGGAATGCAAGAACTAGCTGTCAGCGGTGCAGTGAGAGTCACAACGAAGCTGCAATGATTCAATTGTGGATGAATCGTCTTGGTGTTGCAGCTACATCGACAAGCCTAAGGATATGTTCCACACCACCAGCAACGGGAACGCATCGCTCCTTGGCCCTAGCTTCGGCAGGTTTGTGGAGAGTTCCAGGGTTGAATCCTGGATTCTGGGTTGAACTCATAAAATCAACCAGGGTGCTGTATCCTGAAATCTGGTTGAGTTGAACTCAGAAACTCAACCAGTTGTGAAACGAAGGGACCCACATCGACCAGGAATTGAATTTCCCACTGAGTTCTTGGCCCAAGCCCCATCAAATCGTTCTGCGCATCCAGCGGATTCACGTGAAAGGTGGAGGTGGTCCCCACAGACACCTCGGATTGTCGGACACTTGGAGACGGAGGAAATCTGACCCACCTTACGTGGCTAACTAATGGGTTACACATGACTGTCCTTTGAGCCTTTGGTGCAAGCTGGAATTGATTAGAAGCTTTTGAAGGGGTCTCTTGAGAAGTCCCTTGAGAAGTGGGAAATCCACCTACAAACTGATTGTTGCTCATAGACGAATCAGTTTCGCAACACGTTGAATGGGTTCCATCACTTAATCGGTTCCCAGAAACAGACGCTTGAACAGCACACGATTGTTTCAAAGGAGCTCATTGATTAGAATCTGCACCTGGACAAAAAGAAGGCGCCTACCTTGAGCAGGTGATGACACAAGGGGTGGACAAAACATCAAAATTGCCCTATTTTCACGGGAAGCCCTTGCTACCCATTATATCCTACGACACAGGTTGGGGGAGGAGTTCACATGAGCATTTAGCAGTTGTCACCTTACAAACAAAGATTCCAACATGTTAGCTTTGGTGAATTGGGGATCCTCTCCCCCATCGGGAAACTACTGCGTGGGTGAATTGTTCTCAGTGGGTGACAAAGGTTCGGTATTCTGGGTGGATCCTGAGAAAATCGGTCAGTGCATGACCTGCCATTGTCGATTGCTTTTTGACAGACCCCAAGATGCTAAGATCAGTTGTCTACATTCCTCTGTACCCAAGTCAATCAAGGTTCCCAAAGAACCTTCACTGCTGGGCTTCTTTACCAGTCGTCCCTTACTGTGAGCCGCAGATCTGCACCTTGCTCTTGCCACTCCTGCAGTTGCTTTGCCCGGGCGTACGCTGCGCGAGCAAGCTGGTTAGCATGGCTCCTCAGAATGCTTTCATTGCTGTGAGAATCGCGACACTTGCATTGCATGGCCTATGGCCTGTCGTTCAGAGTGCTGAAGTCTGCGCATAGTAGCCAAATACATCATTCCACATGACGGGCTGAATGAGTATGCTGCTCGTTCACTTCGCCTCTGGTTCCGTTATTTGCTGATACATCCCGTATGGCCGTTGACCAGTTTGGCACTGCTTGGCACAAATTTGATTATCTTCATTTGACTCTGTGCTTAGCACTTAACATACTTTCAGACCGTTTGATACCTCCTTTGTTGTGTGACACTTGTAAACCCTTAAGACGCGTTGTGACACCGTTTGGCACCATCTGTTGATTTTGGTAAATGGAGCCACTGGGCAGACACGTGTGTACCATATATCAAATGTATGTATATATTATTTGAATATATCAACATATATATATCTGTATATTAATATATATATATATACACATGTGTATCCCATGTGACACCGTCGAGAGAAGACGCCGGGTACCTTGAGTAGTCAAAGTTTATGGTTCCTTCGGAAAGGGGTGGACAAAACCAAGGTGAATCGTTGTTGCCAGTATAGTGCATGGGTTTCTGAGATTTTCTTGGTTAGCTGACCTTGGCCTAGTCCAACAAATTGACATGTTAAGATTCTGGTCCATATTGTGTCAACCCTAACATACAACATAGACTCCGGCGACCCTTTGTTCGGTGGGCCAGCCATGCCCATAGTAGGCACCCCTTTCCAACCGCGAAAGTGCACGTTTGGGCCCCTTTCAACAGTAGTCGGCCCAAAATCCTCCTAACTAGCCTTGGCCCTGGGTCTTCAAGGCTCCCCAGAATCCCTTAAACATCACTCCAGGGGGTAAATCAACCACAACTGGTCCAAGCGATGTCTAAACTTGCTCTAAAGGAACATACAGGAAGCCCTGGTTTGCCTACAAAGGCTTTGCCAGCCTAGGGATCCACAAGGAAACCACCAGGGATGGCTCAGTTTGGGTTCAACCACTTGGCCCACGAGGGAGCTTTGACCTCCATTTGCAATTACGTCCAGAGGAAAAACATATGTGTATACAAATATATGCATACATACATATATATATATATATGTATATTCCTACGTGTACAAAAACTAAATATCCAACAGTGATGGATTCCCTCTAAACCAACAGGGGAAGCACAAGCATGTTCTTAAGCACCTGCACGTTGTGCCAGCTTTCCTCCTGTACCATCTACAAGAAGGGGTTCAAATCCCCCTCCGGCTAAGCAAGTAACAACTATCTTCCATTTGCTTAAGACCCCTGGAAGAAGAACAAAAACAACATATTTCCAGTAGTGATTTTAGCTACAAAAAGGGGAACACACATTCTTAAGCAAATGGAAGTTATGTCAGCTTCCCTCCGATTGCTGGTTTGGTTTCGTGGTTCAGGGGGTGTTCCGGGATGGCTTCCCAATGCTTCCCATCTCTACAAGAACCGGGGGTTCAAATCCCCACTCCACCAATGCAAACCACCCATGAAGGGTTATAAGGGCTAAATATTTGCTAACAGCATCCCCTATTTATGACTTAATTTGGCTTTGTAGTACCCAAACTGGATCTGATTATTTAGCCCCATATTCCTTCTCTCAGGTTGATCATATGAGAAGCCACGAGGAAAACCAGGGTGAGGGATGGCTTCTCATTCGCCCTCAAGAACCAGGGGTTGAATTCCCCCAAGCCAAACCAACGCACCAATCCAAACCTTCGGGTGACCCTTCGGATGTCCCTTTTGGACCCCCAGAAGGGAAGAACTGAGATCCGCGCCGCAGGCACCGGGTGCTGACGCCGCAGGATGGCCGGCCGTGGGCTGGGCCCCAAACGCCGGTGCCCTGGTCGGACGAACTGGGCGACGTGTTGATTTTCCACAACCGCCTGGCGGGTACAAACGCACACACCACTTCTTTGGTGCCAGGTTGGAATTCCAGGAAGGATTGTGGATGAGGATTGGGAGCTCCATTTTGGACCTGTTCCTGGCTCCATTTCATTTAAGACCAAAGTGACCTTTATAGGGGAGAGGGAAACAGACCCAATGACGACTTCGCTTGGCGCAAGCCAAGGTGGCTTCCCTGGGAAGGAAAACCCTCCAAAATGAGGATCGAGGGGAAGAAGGAAACCTTGGGGGAAAACACGCCCCAAAAGCAACAAAACAAGGTTATCATTGGAACAGCCTTCCGACAATAGGGATCTGAACAGAAACCAACAGGAAACCAAACATGCTTTGAGGTAACTCTCATGTTGTTCCCCTTTCTCTGAGAACCCCTTGGGCCCTAAATGTTTCTCTGGGAACCCCTTGGGCCCTAAATGGATACTCTATCTTGTTGAACTTAATGAGGGTTTCTGTTCAGATCTTGGGGTGTACCGGACAGCAAACATCTCCTGCTGCTGATTTCGACCGATGAAATGCCGGTTTGGAGAATGAACCTGCCCCCCTTGGAGGAAACGACAAGTTGGATGCTAGGGGTCATTCCAACACACGCCCATCGAACCAGAAGCGGCTGATTTGAGGGTTCAAAGGTCCCTGGCGTCCCAGGTTGCAGGAAGACTCGCGCTCGACTGGGTTTTTTGACCTGGATTCTGCCCCGAAAGTTGAAAAGGCTTATAGTTCAGAGCCATACCAAGGGGAGCCATCAGCCTAGTGACCAGGGGGCCAAGGATCATGGTGCTCCCAGTCTTCGTATAGATCCCCATGAATTTATGATGTCCATCAAAGGGTCCCCCATGAAAGTTGATACTATTTTGTTTCAGGGCAACTTATAAGTATTAGACAGCTAGACCTGACATTTGTTTTGGTTACGGCTTTGCCTGTGACATGTATTGGTCATAGACATTCGCGGCCCCTTTGTCCTCAAAATGCAAATGCGTTGGAGTTGGTACACGTCTCAGGCTCGTTGGAAAACCAACATCCAAGCCGAAGCCCATGTGTGGGGGCCCTCGATTTTGGCACAAGAATCATAGCCATAAGACCCATTTGAGGGCTGTTCAACAAGGGCCAGCTTTTCAAACTTTTGGTGACTCCCTTCCAACTTCACGGCGCCAGGCGCCAGGTCTTGACCGGTCTCTCCCCATTCGGCCCATGGGGCCCCGCACGGAGCGCGCGCTGACTGGAGTAGCTGGAGTAGAAGGTGGAACCAGCTGGGCAGATCCAATGGAGTGAGGAGATTTTGTCCACTGAAACAGAGGCCTTTGGCTGTTTCGTTTGGGTGTGTGTGTGTGTGCGTGTCTGTTTTGGAGGCTTGGGGACTTCAGGTTGGCTTATTGTGCGGCAAAAGGAAACCGCAATGTCTTGGGTGTTTTTTTGGTTTCAGACATACCCGTCTGAGACCAAGCGGGAACGAAGGACACTGCTCCAGGGTCCCTGGAGTACCACAACGAGTCTTGGCGGTCCTCCCAAATTCGGGACCCCTGAAAGTCAGGAAATGCCACGCGTCGTCTTGTTGCTATGCCTTTCCTTCTCACGCGGGGTTCAATCGGCCAAACTTTACCGGAGGCGTCCACTGGCGCAAGACTTGGTGAGAGACCGCGAATTGCAACTGATGGCAAGACACTGTGCTGGTGAACTATGTGAAGCAACATCTGCTTTCGGCCACGCGTGCATTATGCCTTGCTAGCTTCAAGAACAAGTGGCCTGGCCCCATTTGGCTGGGTTGAGAAGGACACCTTTTACTGCCTTCCTGCCAAGACGGAGCGCCCTTTTTGATCCCGCTAGGCTTAACCCCGTGATTGATTTCCAAAGAAGGGAAACCAAACTTACGGGTGTTTCTCAAAACAGTGGTCCCCCTAAAATAGTTGCTTTGCTTTTGGTTTCCCTTCAGCTACAAACCAAAATGCGGTCCACATTTCTGCAAAAAACAATGTATTGGTATCACCCCCACCCCCCGCGGCAACTGAACGTGGAATCCAACAACCTTCATGTCTCTTGGGCTTCTTTGGAGAATCGGAGTTACCACATCACTCACCAAGGCACTCGTGCTTCCCATAGTCCAGAAGGAGCGAGTGTCCAAGGAGCGCTCCTTGGAGAGTGGCCCGGTATGGGTGCGACTTGAACAACAACCTGGTTGGGGTTTGGAAGGGAAACCAGAAGGAACACCCAATCATTGTGAGATTCCCCCCAAAAAACAACCAAATGGGTGCAATGGGTTCAATCAGATCTGCACATGATGGCCCTTTCGTGCACGAACCCTTTTATTGGAACCCGTTCAACCACCGGTCTGACAAGGGAATGGTTGAATGTTTCGCGGGGTCGGTTTCCTTAACAGCCCCAGTGGATCCAAACAAGCCTATATTGTAGTACAGGAAACACATCATGTAAAATTGTAAAACCTTCATAGTCCTTGACAAATCCATGCATTTCTACAGGATATCCTGGATTAGTTGGTGGGTGTTTAGGCCCCTGCACTTGAAGGCAGGCTTACATGGTAAGTACAATACTCAATGAGACCCAATCATCCTGAATACCCTTCAAAATCCAGCCCAAGCAGGTTCTTGCTTTGTGGGAATGCGGCGACAACAACCAGAAAATTATGCTGCGGGTAATCCATGATACAGGGTGGACGATGTTCACCATTGATTAATCAACCCCTGGTTGGCTTTTGGGGCGTTTTCGATTCAAGAGGGGGTTGCGGATCACTTTTGGGGGTCAGCACCCCCTATTAACCCGCCGGGTGGACTACCAACAAACTTGACCCAGTAGATCCCAGTTTTTATACCTAAATAGGCAACCCTTCGATCCATTCTCCGCTTGGTTGTTAAATGCTGGTTCCCTTGGTTGCCTACAAAACCAGGACAATAAGGAATCACTGGTTCAGGCTTCTTCGACTGGCGACTTCCAAGCCTCGAGAAGCAGGTGGTATGGCCCCCAAGGTGCGCGAAAGCTAGGGGTCGTCCTGTTCAGAAACTATCGTCCTTGGCCCATCCTTCTTCACCCGTCCCTTGTCATGTTCCATAAGAAAGTTTACCGTTTTGCCAATTTGAAGACAAGGATCCCTGAGAAGAGACTAGGGTACCTCCTTCATTGAGGGATTTCCTCAAACCAGAGGACGGAGGATGGGGAAGGTCAAGCGGGTTGGGGGAGGAACCCGTCGGAATTCTATGCAACAACTAAGCCTGCGTGAGCCGAAGCCCCCTGAAAGTTAAAGGTTCAACTAAACAAACAAAGCTTTTAATTGTTTAGTTGAGTCGGTTTCGATCCAATCACCTGTTGAAAGGCTTCTGCTAAGCCACAGAACGAATCGCTTGGCACCTTCAGAACTTCACGCGCCTTGGGCTGCCAAATCCCCAGCCACGTGCATGACGTTTTCTCTATTGGAACTCTCTCTTGGTTGACTGTTCATGGGAAACCAACAGGAAACCTGCTCAGAAAATTGTCCGTGTCCACAAGGTGCAGGTGGAGTGGGAGGGCTCCTCTTCCACGGAGTGGGGGTTGTCAACAGATGCAAAACCAACATGCCTCTGGTCTGCCGGGAAAAAAATGCTCCTCGAGCTCGTCCTCCTCGTCCGATTCATTGGGAGTAGACTCCCTGCGCCGGCCTCCAGGAGGCCCCAATTCGGGAAAAAAGCATACTGCAAGGGCCCAGCTATGGGGAAAGTCAACATTACTGGTCAACGTTCCACCCTACAACTGTAGGATTTAACTCGTTTCTTGGTTGATTTGAGTCAAGGGCACGATGATCAATATGCAAATTGTTGACACAGCTTTGGTGCAGTTCTCGGTTCACTAGGTAAATGAAAGGTTGTGGACAGGTACATGGAATTGCTGGGTAGAATAAATGACAAGACCCCTACAGCTGGTAGCCCCCTATTACGCAAGTAGACAAGGGAAGAAATGAATTCACGCAATAAAACAAATATAACTTATGGAGAACACTGTGTATCTGCGTTAGTGACTAAAAATCGCACACCTGAATTCAGAAGTCACCTGCTGCGACTCACCTCACAAGGGTGAAGTCCCAAGGTGAGCAAAGGTCTACCCAAAACCTAGGTTTCAACCCCTGTGAAAAAAGGAAAAAATGTCTCACCGGTTGACCCGAATCCCAGGGCTGTGAGTCAGGATCTCCTGAGGCTCGGCTGCGTTTTGAGTCGACTTGTTTGAACATGAAGCTAGCCCCGAGTGTGAAGACACCCTCAAGAGTGTCCCTTGTGTTCAATCCAAAATCGTGAAGTGCGAACTCTAGTTCAGTTCGTGTTTCATTTGCGAAGCTCCCTCAGATTTTGGAGGGGGGTGTTCTTCACCTGGGGCGGTTGTTCTCCACCTGGGAGTGGTCCAAAGGCAGGCCTTCTCATTTTTCTGGAAGGCAGACTTTCAGCCAAGGCAAAAAGCAGGGCCCCTATCTGGGTTGAAATTTTAGTGGAGAAGAAATGACAGGTGATTACAGACAATAAGTGATGCATTTCATCTCTGTATCTCCTACCAATACCTCATCTCTTTATTTCGTGTTATTTTTAACATGACTCTATCATTGTCCCATTTGCAAGCTTAGGAAAGAGAAAGTGGATTGTCTCCAGACATAAGAATCATGCATCTCATTGAATCATGGTTGTTTTATCTTTGGTGTTCATCACCTTTTTATGCTAGGAATTCCCTATGAATCTAGGATCTACCATAGATCACTTCATCTCCCATATGGGTATGTGTTTTTTTGACGTGGCCGTGCCGGGAGGTTGGTATAAGGGGTATGAATCGCAGGTATGGTTCGGGGTATGGCTCGGGGGTATGATTCGGGGTATGGCTCGCGCGCCTCTGAACGCTTGCTTTGTGGCTTTGGACACTGCAAAGCTCCCGTGCGCTGGCAACTGGATAGCCGTGAGAATTTGGACCGCGTAGTTGCTAAAAGCCAGCCTGGGGCGCTTGTGAGTGGCCTGAACTAGACAGCTGCCACTCTGCGTGAGTGGGTTAGCGAAAGCTGCTGCGCTAGGTGGAAGGCGCAGAGCCACTGCCTGAGGCGAACGTCATGGCCACCTCCACTTGGAGTTCAAGCGACCCGCGTGCTCACAGACCCAAGCAAGCGTTGCTTAAGGGGAAGCGCCGCTGCCCAGTCAGGCCCGCCACCCGCACCAGTCACGAACCAGCGTCAGCCGCGCAGAGGCTAGTGGGCGTCTCACAGGTGGTGTACCGTGTCGCGCTTGATACATCGCAGTAAGCCTTCCGAACCCACCTTCTGGCGAACTTCTGCGAAAAGAGCCGCAAGCTGGTTCCTGCAGTGCTTCTCTTTGAGTTTTGTGTCTTCTGAGGATTTGGGCGGCATAGCTTCGCTAGTACTGCCCCAGAGGCTCTTGGCTGCAAATGGCAGCAGAAGGGTATGAATCGGGGTATGAATCGGGTATGAATCGGGGGACATTTTTTCGACCGGAAAGACACCAAGAGCACCCAGGAGCACAAAGACAGCTTATGTTTCACTGCGACAGTGGCCCAGGACAGACAGCTGTTTCCACCGCGTCGGACAGACTGCAGGAAGCAAGCTCCAAATTTCAAGCTCAGCAGCGGCACCCCCCGCCACGGCGCCCTGGAAGTCCCAGCGTCTTCCGTCAAGCTGCACCCCCCCGCCACAGCACCACATGCTACAGACAACTCTAGTACCAGGCAGGATTTCTCTTTAACTCCATCCATTGGCACTTTCCATTGAAAATAGCAAGCCGAGACCGAGGTGGGTAACCGAGTGTCAAGGAACACCACTGGAGCCAAAATGGCCCCACGAGTAACCAGTGAGTGCGTGAGTGGACATGTCAACTGTACTTGGCCCCATGACATCAGAGCCCAACAATGCAAGCATCGCAGGTTCAAGAATAGATCCAGGAACCACAAGTGAACCAGGTATTACCTCGGAGCCCCTACCCCCTGGCATCGGTCCACATGTCAAGATCTAAAAAACTGTTTCTTGACAAGACCCCCTTCTTCACTTGAAGTTAAACCCCCTATAGCTTCCAGCTATCCATGGATCACATGCAAATGCCACAGTTCTTGCAAGTTCTTTTTTTGTTGTTTTTAAGGGGTATGACTCGGGGTATGGTTCGGGGGTATGGTTCGGGGTATGATTCGGGGGTATGGCTCGCCCAAGCCCCACCTCCCACGAAGACTAAAGAACTGACACGGTAAAAAAACACAGACCCATATGTATCTTTATCAACGTCACAGCCTCAAAACTCGGAAAAAAACAGTTTACAGGGAAAATACCCCCAGAAGTACTTTTGGCTAAACCCCTCAACATGTTGAACATGACCCTCTTTGCATGTTTTTGTTTTTTGGGACACACAAGGCATGGGGTAACCTCCACATGGGTCCAACGGAAAAGAACCAATAAGAGAAAGTAACCCTAAGAATCCCAGAAGTAATTTTGGCAAACCCCTCAACATGTCGAACATTTCCCTCCAAATATCTCCAAATCGGTCCAAACAAAAACGGAGGGTCTTTGGGCCTAAGAATCCCAATAATCCCATGGAACACCTAACCTCCACATGGGTCCAACGAAGGAAACAAAACACGAGTGACTCTAACACGGCGCGGGTCTTTCCGCCTGCGGCCAGCGCCGCATTGCGTCGGTTCAGTTCCTGGCTGCGGCTTTCCATGAAGACCCGTCCCATCCCGTCCCTTTGGACGCCCGGGAGGTTCGGGTCTCAAAACTGGGCTGCCCTCAGGTCCCCTGCTAAAAGTGAATATATTTTAGTGGGTTAAATGGAAACTACCTCTAAGCCCTAAGGTCTAAAAGGCTAAGGGGACGGCTGGGACCAAGAAAACCAGGTAACCAGGTTGTTTGAAGACCCTAAATCAAACAAACGGGCGTCTGGGTTAGAAAAAGATGTACTTAAACTTTACGAGTGCTCCCATGAAAGGTAGTACGACCAAATGCTGAACTGCGCCCTTTGGGCGTTTTGGGCGGGGATCGAGGGTAGCTTGAGGGTAGATCACCAAAGCACATTTGGCCGACATCTAAACTCTCGCCTGCTGCACAACCAGCACTCTGGCCTTACCAAGATCTCACAACATGCGTGTGTCAAAATAGGGATGCCCGGCTGGTGCCGCCTTCCCAAAGCCATTTTCTCCAAGGCCACCAAAGAACCCTGGCTTCGAACAAAAAAGGCCATGATCTCACTGCCAGCGTGAACCTTTCGTAACCATCTCGGAGTTAAGAAATGGGATCAGAACCCAATTGGCCACCTGACCCGATTTTGTAAGGGTTGACAGGCAACTCCACAGACGAAAAAACCTTGAATGGGGTCGTCCTCACCCAAGAAACTGAGTGCTTTTCAAACCAACCCTCTGGGTAGGGGACTCTGTTTTTGTTGACCCCCCCAGCCTGTTTTTGTTGCACCCCAACACCAAGGGGTAGGCAAAGAGTCAGAACACAGGTTGTGGGGTGGAACACCAAGGCACCAAATGCCTGTTTAAAGGGTATACCTGTTTTTTGGAGTATTTACCAACAGATCTCCCTGACCAAGGTCCCATGAAACACAACTTTCATGGGGCTTTCACGTCGCAAACGCAAACCGCTCATAGGGATGCGGTCGCACTTGAATTTGGGGCCAACCACCTTTTTGAACATGTAAACTTTCAGGGTATCATGTTAACCCCTGACGAAAACAGGAGGTCTTTACCACGGAAGCCACAATAAGTAGCGGGGGATATGTTTAATCCACTGCTGACTGCTCACTCCTGAGTTCATGGGCCAAATCAAGTCTGAACTTCTTTTTCACCGCCAAATAGCCCAAAAGGTGAGTCAGACAGTCACTCTCAAAACCGATCTAAAAATGGTCTAAATACCCTGAACCATGTGAAGAATGAAGGCGGAGATCCGCACCCATGGCAAGGGAATTACCCCTTACCTTCTATCAAACGGTTGGGGTACAGGAAATTCTACAGGAAACCAGCTGATTTAGGGTGTTTTGGGGCCGTTTCCTCTAAATTCTCCTGTAACCGAACCCTTTGATTCTACACACTGGCTGAGTGGATGGCCCAAAAATAGTTCAAACTTTATATTTACCACCAAAATGGTCTTCCCAAAAAGTTTAAAGTTCATCAACTCAGGAAGTAAGTACCTTCTACCGGATTCTACCCGAGCCTTGATTGCGCGTGGATCGGAAAAGGATCCAAAAGCGTCTGGAGAGCTGCCGCGGGCCTCGTCATAGCCTGCCTTCTCTGCCAGGCGCGGGAATCGCCTGCGAGCAATCCCTGGTAAACCTGTTCAAAGGGTTGGGTTATAGGAAAATCTAAAAGACCCGAAGACACCCTAAATCAGCTGTCTTCCTGTAGAATTTCCGGAAAGTTCTGGAAGCCTCTTCATTCCGGTTCATTCCGCTCCCTGCACCAATGCACGGCCACCATGGAATAGCCATTTTAGCAGGACCGCAGGCATCTTGGCCCGTGTCAGGTGTATACAGAATGTAATGGGTTCTGATTCAGTTTCATTTTTTACTCAGGCATGTCCAAGCCAAAAGCCCTGAAATCGGGCTTTTGGTCTGGTTTGCCAACATTCGCCAACTGCATTTCTCTTTTCCCCGCAAAAGAGAACCATGTAAGCAATGGAATTCCGGGTGCCGAACTCCAGATCCCAGATTTCAGCAAGGTAGCCAGCCAGCTTCCATTTGATCTTGAAAGAGTGGGACACCTACATAGAATTTCAACGTTGGGGTCGGTTTCCGAATCAAAACGAACCAAACAAAAATGGCCGCGCCCTCCCAAAGGCTCCTAAGACTCCCTAGGGCTAGGCGTCTGACTCCATTTCCATCTGTACCACTGGAACCAAGGACAATGGTGCCTGGAGTCTCCATGACCCTTAAAATGAGGTCACATACCCAAAATAAGGGCTCGCCCCCCTCCTCCTCCCCCCCTGTGAATAGGACCCCGGCAAGCGCCCGTGCTTCTTGCGGAGCTGCGCAAAGGTTGGCTTTGCCTCGCGCGGAAACGGAGGGCCCTCTTTGAGGATACCCTCAAACCAACGTACGGCCGTCAATCTCTGGCAAGAGATCGCCCGGCCTAGCCGTGCGAAAGCGAGCTATACTTCACTGCTGTTCATTGTTTGCCTTCAGTGTCAAGAGCTCCTCTTTCATGACAGACCAACACTGGTGCCAGTTGAGAGAAACTCCGCCATACTCCAAAACGATTTTTAGATTTGCTTAAAAGGAAGCCACAAGGAACGCCGTCGTTTATGGTGGTACCCCTGTTTGAGCATACAGACACACGCACACACCCTGCTCCAAATACCCACCTTTTTTGCTCCGGCTGCAATGCTTGTCTGGAATGAGGGACTCCCTAGTTCAGGTTAGTGGAATTATACCTGTCCCCTACTCCAACGGCATATACTTTCCAACAGACGTTATCAGGAGCCATTCAGGACAACTATGGCTCCCGTACCGAGTTGGCTCTGAAGCAATTTGACATGGCTCAGGAAAATCACCCGAAATCAGGGTGTCGCGAAAAATAGGCCCCAAACCCGACATGTTCCACAGCGCTGTTTGGCCTGTTTCCGAAGTTTGGCAAGCCATTTTTGAACAACACACTGTGGATAGGCCTGGCTGTTGGGCTCATTTCTGCCCGATGTCCCCTTTTGACCCTCAAATTTGGGTGTAGGACCCAATCTTTCAAGGGTCATGGAGACTCCAGAAGCCTTTGGCCGGACACGATCCCTGGAAAGGAAGGTAGTGGTTAATAGGTGGAAACCAGAAGGAAAACCACAAATCTTGAAGGTCCCCTTCAAAAACCAAGCCCGTATTGGAACGAGTCATTCTTGTAGGGGGCAATAGCCAGACAAGTTTCTTGCCATGTTTTCGGGCCAGCGCCATTGGGCTTTGTGGTGCACATGCCTTCTTGGCCTGACGGCCTGGTGTGGAAAAAGCGCAAACCCAGAAGACGGCCTGAGAGGCCTCGATGACTCATCCGCCAATCAGGGATCCTTATATTATACACCTGAACATTGCCTTGCCAATGGTGGTTTCCCCTTATTTTGGTGGAAAAAGCCATGTTTCAAATGGGCAACATGCATCTTTTAAGGAGCCCTGAGTAACTTGCCGGCATTGCCACATTTACCCAGTCCCCGCTTTGCCCAGCTTTCTCCATTAAACAAAAACAGCTGCACCTGGTCTCCACTAACAAAAATAAATCAAAAAAAAAGCTGCACCTGGAGTCTCCATGACTCTTTGGGGTCATGTACCCTCAATTGATAGGGCTCCCCTTCCACAGATAATGTCCGAAAACGCCCAACACTGCACCTGAAGTCTCCAACCGCGCAAAAAAAGAAAAGAAAACTCTTTTCCCGTCTCCCAACCAAAGAAGTGGCAAAACCAAAGCTCTTCACCTCGAACTATGGACAAAACTGGGCTCATATTTCATGTCTGCCTCCATTTTCGTCTCCATACCCGGGGAGAAACCCCTAGTGATCTCACCCGGCAAACACCTCAGACCCTCGGAGACACCCGGCGAACGACCCATCCGCGCCTCGGCCTTCGGAGAGCCAACGGCTGGCCTCACCGCTTTCGAGATCGCGGGGCCGGGAAGGGGGAATCGGATCGGAAGACTCACGTGGACTGGCCCAAAAAAGGGAGGGGACACCTTTTTTGGGTTGCCACTTGAATTTTGTCTGTCCAAAAAGTGGTTGAAGTCCGAGAACTCTAAGTGAGAGTTCATCTGGGCATGTGACTATGAATGTTCGGGACTCGGGCTGAATTGGACAGATTCATCTGGACAGTTTGCTATAAAACAAGAAGTTGAGAAAGTCAGGTAGAGAGAACCTTCAGGAACTCTCCGAAGAAGGCCAAATACCCCCACAGCCAAAAAAGGAAAACCAAAAAAAACACCTGCGTTATGAAGAGAGGTATTCCGTGAAACCGTGCAGTGCTGGCCCTCGCATCGTTCTGTTCCCGCAGAATTCTTGATCAGAAGGCCTATGGGAGGGAGACTTCAACACGTTCACGGCAAGCATGTCCGGTTGAATAACACAATATCAAGCACGTCCTGCAGGCTCATCTTGCAAACCTATCTGATAATTTAGCGTAGCTCATGAAAGTCAAGGACCTTCATGAAAGAGCGCGTTCCAGTCCCCCCAATTGGTGGCTTCTCCAAAACTCACAGGAACACCCATCCGGTGCGCCGAGTGCTGCACCTGCGCCGATCTGGAAAATCGAAGAGGTGCCTGGCAGAACTGTTTTGAAACGCTCAGCGACGAGACATACGGTAATACGTACAGCGCCTTCTCTGTTACCCAGTGCTTCAAGGCAAGCCACTGCCAATATATATTTACCTCAGGGAGTTTGCTTTGCTGATGGTTTTCCCTGTTTACCTGCAGTGGTAGCTGGAAGCACTGTGTTACAAAACTAAAATGACACAGCTCAATACAAGAGGATCTCATCGACAGTCACAACTCACCTGCGTGACATTCACATCTCACTGCCGCAATTGCAAGCAAACACCATCTCGTCGACATGTCAATTTGAGCTCCTCTCAAAAAACGCCAAAAACCACACGTGTCCTGGAAATGACTTCTTTCCCCATGAGAAATTTGGGGCCATGGTATGCCCGGTTCTGTTGGACATGTAAACGAGCAAATGTGTCCTTTGAGCTTGCCGTCGGCGTCCTGGGCCCTCTAGACGGTTGGCTGCACAAGCAATGGTGTCTGATTGGGAACGCGCGGCTCACGCCTAGAAAAGCTGAATCCTCTACTCAGAACACCCTATTCTCCCCTGGAATAGATTGAACCACCAAGATTGCTCGTGGTAAATATGTTTTATTCAGGGGTTGACGTCCTACCCTCCAACTCCGACCAAAAGGCCGCACCCCGACGCTGGGCAACCAGGTAGCTTTGTCCCTAAGACGCTTTCCACTCCCCCGAACTCACCCCCTGGCAAACAGAATGAAAACAAACCGAAGTATATATATATATATATACATATACTAGTAAAGTATATATATATACCTAGTATATACACCTAGTATAAAACATCTTGTCCACATGGACCTCATGGAACCCACCCAGGGGTCCTTGGTGAAAGGAGAAAATCTTCGTCCAGGACACCTCTGAGGTTCCATGTGGATGGGAGGGTAAAGGGTAGAGTCATATTCCCACTCAGGACGGGGTGGTGGACAGTGGTTTGGGGGTGGCTTCAGGGGTGCGAGAACGGAAACCCAACGAAGCTCGAAACTTGTTGCCACCTGGAGGGCGCTCAAAACCCATTCACTTTTGGTGCTACTATGCGGCTGAATGCAAGTAATTTATGCAATGCAGGCCACTATCAGCCCTTTGGAAACCGGTAGGAACACCAGCTAATAAAATGATGAGTCAACACGGTGGATGAATAAACCGGGGTGTGTTCCCCAAGAAATGATCTGGATCTTCACTTGGATAGCCTAGGCCCCCCGCCCCCTGCCCAAATAAACAAAGAAAGCCGCTCCTGTTCTGAGCTCTTTGAGAAACAAAGAGTAGGCTCTTGATCAAGAAGCTGGGGTTCATGAATCAACTGGAATCCCATATGGCCAACCCAACAACATATTGTCCAAAACTTACACCAGTGAGGTACATGGCAGAACTCCCTTAAAGGGGATGACTAAATTGGGGAATTGTTTGTCATCGAATCTTTCCCCCAGCTCTATGGTTCCCACTCCGGGCTTGCTCACTGCGCAAGCGTGCCGAACAGATGCGCCGCGGGGCCTCAGCTGTCCCAAGGCGCCAGGCTCCTCCTCCTCCTCCTGGCAGGGCTCGGTGCAAGTGGCCATGGAAACATGGCTGGCTGATTAGAGCAACACCCCGTGGTTGCTGAAGGACATAGACCAGTTCCCAGTTTCCCACACGTTCTATACACTTAAAATTACACATTCTGTCAAACGGAACAAAGCATCAGAGGGTGCGAAACAAAGAGAAGCCAAAAGCAAATCAAGCCGTTTTGGAAGTGTTTGCTTCCGGGGCATACTTGGCATGCATCCAAGTAAACCCGGCTATCCCTCAAGGAAGAAAAGTGTTTGCTGCGTCACATAACACTGGTGCTGCATGGACCACCCTGTGGTGACATAGCTTTCCGCTAAAAAGCTTTCTGCCGAACATACCACCTAACTCGTCCCACCCATCGGGTGCGCTTTTTCTCGATGACGCCCAAATCTCTAGGCTCCCTTCTTAAAGGTCAGCAGGAAGTTGTTCCTGGCACCAGAGCGGCCAGGGGAAAAAAAGGGCACCGTACGATTGGGGAAACGCTGTGTAAATGTACCTCCAACTCAAAGTTGTGAGATCTTCCCACCTTCCCACTGTCCTGCTGAAAGGCTTCCCGAATGGCGAATGCTCTGGGAATGTTCACAAATACCACAGGCGACGTCCTCCTCATTCCGTCAGCCCTACGTCACAGTCATGTCAACGTCGATTTGGTCTGGAGGATCCTTCAAGTTGGAGGGATCCCCATAAATGCAAAATGGATCAATCCCCCCTAAAAGAATAAGAAGAGGGCAACCAATCTGCAGCTGAGCTGCGCCGGCATATCCTGCTTCCCCACCATCACGAGGCCGCACTTCTTGGCTTCTGCCGCGATGTCGTCGATGTCTCGGTAGCCCCACTCGGCGTTGCGCGCCCTGGAGCAGCTTTCATACTTGAGCCCTCCCGCCCTCCCTCTCCTAACCCCCTCCACCTGGCGTCCTAAGAAGGGCTTGCAAGGCAGGCGGGTCATGTCATATCCATCAAGCCCAGGAAGGACCCCCACCCTGGAAGCAAGGAACTGATACAAATCGCTGCGGCCCCAATTTCCCCAACAAGAAATGACTGAAGAGTTGTTTCCCGCTGAAAATCACTCATCTGCAAGGTCATGCAAGGTTCACCATCCCCATGACTGGGGAGTCTCCTTAGCAACGAGAAGCCAAACAATCGGGAAAATAACCTGGTCTGTTGATACCAGAGTAAACCATCCCAACAACGAGTTGATCACTCTCATGGGAAGTCCCTGTACATGCAAAAAGCCACATCTCCCGGCCTAAGGCTCACGTCAAAATCTGCATTGCTCTCCGTTGTGAACTCCCCGTTCACCTGCCAACAGCCACATGTCAGCCACGCTCAAAATATGCCTTTGGTTGCCGTCAAGGACATAGGATGACATGGGAAAACTAGATTTCCGTCCCCTTGGTTTGTGGAAATTTTGGTGATTCCCCAATGTCCCAGCCAAATTGAGTCATAGACTATTGGATATGTTGACCGAACCTCATGTTGAACCGGCGGCCGGAGAGCTCAGTGGTGGCTCAATTTGATGCCGACTTGGGGAACACATTCTGCAAGGCATCCGTTTGAGTCAGCCTCAAGATATGTTGTGTGGCCTCTATGAATTTCAGCTTTAGTGGGTCTTCAGACGGTTTGCAATGTCCGTGGCTTCGCAAGGGGTCCCAAAGAGGGGGGGGGCCTTTTGATGTTGTCAGGAACACCGAAGGACAGCCAGGCAGTAGCGCGGGCATAGGCTCGAACACCGCAATCCCCAGCCCAGTGACCATGATTCCTCACGGAACCCAACTGTTGGCGTCAATCCCAGTAGTGAATTCACTAAAAGGGAGAGTGGGACCCATTAAACTGGGATTAGTGTCCCGAGCTTCGTGTCCAAAACAAGGCGATCCACAGCCGCGGACCGATTTCGCGAACCGATGGCGCGCACCGCCGAACTTCCGATGTCCTGCACCTTTCGTCTTGAGCCCTCAAAGGCTGCCTCAATAAACACCACCCCAAAAAATGGGTGTGCCTGGAGCCTCCATGACCCCATGGCTACACTTGGCTCCAAATTTTGCCAGAACCCCCATTCTATTTTTGGGGGCACTTACATTGAGTCGCTTTGTTTTGGAATCTCTCATGTTGGCTTGCGGGAAACCGTTGGGCAACCTATCCCATTCGGTTCGTCAATGGCGAGGTAAGAACCGACCTGGCTGCCATGCTCCCCCGATTTTTTGAGACCAAATGTGTCAGGTGAATGCTGCGTACCCTTGCGTATGCATCGGAATCAGACCTGGGAAAAAAAAGGGATCAACATCAAGTGTAAAGGTGACTTATCCAATTACATCAACCCGCGCTAGTTTGTCTGTTCAACTGTGAGTCGGCGTGTTTCCCAGACAGGTGTGCCCTGAAAGCAAAATGAACGCAGCAAGGGGGCAGTCCTCAGAAAGGGAGCTGCGGGTTTTGTTCACCAGCCCCTCAAAGTTTGAGGTCGCGGAAAATTTGGTCCAGATCCAGATGGAAATGATGCTGTGGTCGAGAAGCTAGTTTCATAAGAGCCTGTAACAAAAAGTTCGAAGAGGAGCAAAGTTCTGAACTCAAACATGCAAAGCGGTTGTTCCTGCTTCAAAGCCACCCCCCTCCCAAGGTAGCCAAGTCCGTTCTGCAACCATATTGTTTGGAATGTTGCTCTTGTCTAGACTGGGGGGATACATCAAAGCCCCTCACCCCTAACCCCCTGTTTTTTTTTGTGTTGTTTTTCCCCCTTTTTTTCCGGATCGGTGCCGAAAGAGATTCGCTTTTGTTTCGCAAGCTGCCACATAAATCTAGGGGCGCTCACCCTTTCCAGCAAGCACAAACCTGACAAATAGCTGGCTGTGGTCAAGGATGATTGAAACGAATGAGGTTCAGCCCCGAAAACTGATAGACAACAACTAGCGAACAACAGTACGTGTTAAGTGTGTATTGCGCCGATTTGTGCAGTTGCGGTGGTCCAAAGGGTTAGGTTTAAGCAAGCCTACCCCCAAGGAACTAAGTCTGAGTGACCCTTAACGCTAAGGAACAATAGGACTTCCTGTTCAAGTTCTCTCGGAAAAAACAGCAAAGCTGCCCATATTGAAGTTGCTCCCCCCCCCCCCCCGGCTGGACAGATGCCGAGCCCTTTTGGCGCCTTTGGGGCCAATGGTACTCATATTGCTCAAATTTGGCCTTCTCCCCCGCCCAAGAGAACCGACAAAACAGAAACCTTTGGCATTGGGGGACATAGACTGCAAACGGCAAAGAACACGGAAAACCCAGACAACTTCTTTTGACCCATTTAATTTGTGCATTCTTTGTGACGCATGCCCCTTTTTGGTGTGGTTTTAAAGGAAAACTAAAAGGACACTGCCATGTACTCTCCCCGAACACCAGTCAGTGGCCATAGAAGCCACTTGTGTATGATAGTTGATTTTAGAGGGAAGCCAACCAACCAACGCCCCAACCAACCAACACACACCACAACCAACCACAACCACACCCCCATTTCAGCCCCAGGTCCCGCTCCGGTTTCCTCCCGCCTTGAAGGGCCCATAGGCGATCAGCAGGCCGCCCTCCATGAGGGCAGCAGCCGCGCCCGCCAGGATGCCGCAGGTCACCTACAGTGAAGCTAAGGCTGGGTCACGCAGGCACAGGCATGCACATGGCACAAATAAAAGCACCCCAAAAACAGACAAAGAAGCACCAACACACACGCACACGCACACGCACACGCGCAAGCGCACGCGCACGCGCACGCGCACGCGCACGCGCATGCGCCCGCGCACGCGCAAGCGCACGCGCACGCGCACACGCGCACGCGCACGCACACGCACGTGCGCACGCGCACGCGCAGGCACTGGCACAGGCACAGGCACAGGCGAAGGCGCAGGCGCAGGCGCAGGGGCAGGGGCAGGCGCAGGCACAGGCGCAGGCGCAGGCGCAGGCGCAGGCACAGGCCCAGGCACAGGCACAGGCGCAGGCGCAGGCGCAGGCGCAGGGGCAGAGGCAGGCGCAGGCGCAGGCGCAGGCACAGGCACAGGCGCACAGGCACAGGCACAAGCACAGGCACAGGTACAGGCACAGGCACACGCACAAGCACCGGCACAAGCATAAGCGCACACACACACACAGCACAACAGCACAACTGCACAACTGCACAACTACACACATATATACACATTCATGCCGCAAACCAAAATGGGCGATAAAGCACTTGGCCCAGGTGGGCCAACTGGGGTATTGGGAGTACCCCCACCCCCCAGCGCCCAATCCTTTGTCGTGCCATGGCCTTCCAGGGACTGATGTGGGTGATGTTCGAGAAGTAGACGGCGGCAAACCTGTGCGAGGCTAAGGCGCTAAAGGACCCAGTCATGGCGTCCCACGCCCCGTTGGACTTGGTTCTGAGAAGGTAACTTGGGGTCCATGTACCGGGATAATCAAGGGAACCACCCTTCAGAAACAAAAAGGTTGAATTGCTGGTGACCTGCTGTAGGGGTCACTGAACTTGGATGGGCGATGTCCTATTTGAATGTCCGCGTCTTGATTTATCAGATTAGAAAGGCACCCAAAGCCCAACCCTAAAAAAACATCTACTATGGAATGAGCGCGGCTTTACACGGCAGCAGTTCAGGCCCCTGCTGGTTCTTGGGCGGCAACAAACATGTGAGGGCTAAATAGTCGCACACACTTCAACTGAATGCAGCTTCTATTGTGCCACGCTCCTACACTAATTCTTGCGGCCTTTGCAGTATCAGGATGTTCCTTTCTTCCCATCGCAATCAGGCGTCTAAGAGACACCTTAGTTTGGTAGACCGGCTGCCCTCAACTCCAGAGGAGCAGCCCATGTTTGTATGTTTGTTCAAAGATATTTTGGTAAATTGCCCCTACAATTATGTGATGTTCTTGTTTCAACAACGTTCTGTTAAGGGCACTCCTCTGTTATTCCTTCTTGTTTCAGAGAGACACCCACTTCTTTTGTCTTGAAACATTGAAACAGCCCCCAACAAAAGTCAAAAAAGCGAGACAACAAGGAAAAAACAGGTCCCTTTTAAACGCATACAACACCGTACCCTCAAATTCAAAAGAACAATCCCCGATATTTCCGACCCCTAGAGGAAACCCGCTAAACCCAACGATATTTTGAACTAGTAATGGGGGAAGTTATCACAGAAACCAGCCACAACATTTCTGGATGTCCTGGAGAGTTTTCGGTAGCTGACGTAGAATATCATCAGAGTGAAGCCAGACCTCCTCTTGATGCTGGGGAGAGACTCTGCTTGTGTATGTTCAATGCAGGTATCACTGGTATGGGCTTGTTTGGACCGTGCCGCCTTTAGAAGGCCAAAAAACCTTAGCTTTGGCAACTCCATGTCTAATGACAAAAACAAACATGGCTCACATCTGAAGTACACTGAACATTTTATTTTCCTGATCCTGTTTCATAATTCGTCTACCCTTTGCTCAACTAGCTTTGGAGGAGACCACAAAAACAGCCTAGCTCCTTAGCTCTCTCTGCAAATTTGGAGACCCCCAACCATTCCAACTAGTAAAACAAGCAAACAGGCTTCTCTCAAAATAGAAGCCACAAAATGGCACCAGTTTCCTGTTGGTTCCCTTGAAACCAACCCAAAAACGGTACCTTCAACAAAAGGGACGGACCCCACAAGACCCGGTCCCCCGCGGTTTGGTTCGAGGCACGTGCCCTGGTTGCCGCGCACCGGCTCCGGCCACTCCGCGAAGTCTCGGGAGGCGTCCAACGGCACCGCCGGGCGCACGTTGGGAAAGGCCTGAAGACCAAATCTCCCCCAAACCCTAGGAGCAACCCTTGGGCTAAGACCACCCACAAACCATGAAACCCGAAACACAACAAGAACCCCGCGGATCCTGGGCGGGTGCAACGAATTGGCACTGCTTTGATTGGTCGGTTTTAAAAGAAAACCACCGCTCCGAAGAGAAGGAAGGGCACCACTGGGCTGGGAGCACCGGCCTTGCAGCCCACTGAGTCGATGTCCTGCGCCGACCAAAAACATGACAGTCGCTGCCCTCAAGGTACATGGAATACCGCACAGCTGTTAAGTCACGGATCAAAGAAAACATATTGTTTTTGTTGGGTCATGGACAAAAGGGCTGTTTTGTTTGTCGGTTTTTGGGGGAGGCGGGGGGAGGGGGGGGAAGGGGGGGGATACCACCAACAACTGTGGGCCAAACATTGGAGAACCTGGGATATTGACCCCATGGGTCACAGGCTTCAGTTGGAGCACTTGTTTTCAGGTTCAGCCCAACCCATCATCAAATGCTCAGAAAGGTTTCAATATAGTAACCAAAGGCACGTAGTAAAACACAACGGGGAACATCCAAGTGGTTAACTACGCTGGCTATGTTAACTTCGAATTGTACTATCACCAACAAACATGCCTTGGTGCGCCAAAAAACACACTTTGGAAGAAGGTGTCCCTTTCGGACAAGGCGACTGTGCACTTCAATGCGAGCAGCGCTCGGAACCTCTTGACTTTTGGTGCTTCTGACATGGTTACTAAGGTCAATATAGGCTGTGCTATAACCCCAATCGAAGCTAAGGAACAAACTACTAAAAATGGTTGGGGGTCTTAGGTGCTCTTGCGCGTTGGAGGGTAGTCTGGAGGATACCAGTGGAAGGAACCTCCGGCCAAAAGGCCCCGCTTTGGTTTACTCCGAAGTCGAGAGTAACTATCTGTTCTCGTGGGGTTTGGGGTAGCGCCAACCCACTTGTGGAATGTCTACATATGTATATATATACAGTTTGTACACGTACACATGCGTGTCCCTTTTTCGAGGGCAGCCGTTTGTTGGGTTGGTTTTAATTGAAACCAACGGAATCCAACCATTTTTGTTTGCGGGGGCCGAAAGAAACGACACACACCTATTTAAATATATATTTATTTATTTGGTCGCCCCCCCCCCAAGATCCACCCCCAGCTTTGGACACAGCTAAAACACTGCCAAAACACTATGATTTACAGTGTTTTGAGCAGTTTTCAACTGTTTGGAGCAGATGAAAAGCAAAACGGTTTTCGGTTAGATTTGACATTATTTTTGTCAGATGGGTTGATCCTGGACAAGATGTGATGCCGGCAGATGTTTTGGTTTGAGTAGGCATTTTCATATAGTATTTGAAGCAATTTTGAGCCCGAAGAAGGATAGGCAAGCAGAAGTTTGCAAATGATTTGTGACTGAAGTGTGTTGAACATGTTAAAAAAGCCTCCTTTTAATTGCATTTTTTCCAGTTTGGGAAGGTCATGGTGCTCAAAGTGCTGTACTGTCCCTATTTTGTTGCTTTGGAGATGCAAAAGTGCTGCACTGTCCCTAAAAAACCAAAACAACAAATTATTTCAGAGTCTTGCATGGCTAAGAGCCTGAGACCACCAAATAATTGTTTTTGTTTTAAGGTTTTCTAATCTAGGGACAGTACAGCACTTTTGGCTCTTCAAAGCAAACAAATAGGGACAGTACAGGTCAGGGTGCTCCAAAGCGCAGTACTGTCCCTATGTTTTGTTGTGTTTCCAAAGCAACAAATAGGGACAGTACAGCACTTTGGAGATCAGGGTGCTGGACAGTACAGCACTTTGAGGTCAGGGTGCTCCAAAGTGATGTACTGTCCCTATTGTTTGCGTTTCCAAAGCAAAACAAAACAAGGGACAGCACAGCACTTTCTTTGGAGCCCTGACCTCAAAAGTGCTGTACTGTCCCTATTGTTTGGCTTTGGAGATGCAAAAGTGCCTAACAAAAACTTAACAAAAAAACACAACAATAATTTGGAGGTCTCAGGCTCTTGGCCATGCAAGACTCTGAAATCCGCCGACCCCTTCGCCTCAAAGGGGAGGCGCACGGGAAGGGTGGTTGCAGTACAAGCGCATGGATTAATCTTTGAGGCAAGCATATGACTACTGGCATCATACGGATGCCCATCATCATCATTATCATCATCATCTATATGATTCTTCATCATTCTTATCGTCAACATCATCATCATCATTTCTATATCCTTCAACATCATCATCTCTTATTAGCCGGCACTGGTGATGCCGAGGATGTCATCATCATCTCTTATTAGGCAGCACTGGTGATGCAAAGGGTGTTATGATGATAGTTGTCATCATAATCATCATCATGATCATCCTCATCGCTGTTCTCATCATCATCATGATGATCATCATCATCTTATATGCATTTCAAAAGTAACGTTAGGCCCCATTGGCAATGCAGAGGATGCTACGATGACAGTTATCATCACAGTCCTCATCCTTATCATCATGGTCATCATCATCTCTTGTTAGCCGGCACTGATGATGCCGAGGATGCTACGATGATAGTTATCATCACAGTCCTCATCCTTGTCATCAGTAAACATCACGGTCATCACCATCTCTTATTAGGCAGCACTGGTGCTGCAAAGGGTGTTACGATGATAGTTATCATCATAATCATCATCATGATCATCCTTATTATGATGTCATGGCTCTTCTCATCATCATCATGATGATCATCATCATCTCATTCTTGATTCTTATATGCATTTCAAAAGTGACGTTAGACCCCATTGGCAATGCAAAGGATGCTACGACGATACTTATCATCACAGTCCTCATCCTCATCATCATTCTTATTCTTATATGCATTTCAAAAAGTTAGGCCCCATTGGCAATGCAGAGGATGCTACGATGATAGTTATCATCACAGTCCTCATCCTTAGATATGATAACTATCATCGTAGCATCCTCTGTATTACAAAGCTGCGGAACTATCATCGTAGCATCCTCTGCATTACCAAGGATGCCTAAGGAAGAGATGATGATGATGATGATGACAAGCATGATGACGATGATGACGGCGATGACTATGATGACAATCATCATGAAGATGATAAGGATGATGACTCTTATGACAACTATCATCGTAGCATCCTCTGCATTACCAAAGCTGCGGATGACTGTCATGATAACTATCATCGTAGCATCCTCTGCATTACCAAGGATGCATTTCAAATGTATATAGAAGAAAGATAGAAGAAAATCATGATGACGATGATGAAGGCGATGACTAGGATGACAATCATCATGAAGATGATAAGGATGATGACTCTTATGACAACTATCATCGTAGCATCCTCTGCATTACCAAAGCTGCGGATGACTGTCATGATAACTATCATCGTAGCATCCTCTGCATTATTGAAATGATAGAAGAATATCATGATGACGATGATGAAGGCGATGACTATGATGACAATCATCATGAAGATGATGAGGATCACCTCGCTTCAGATGCCATTTGGGTCAAAAAGAAACCAAAGAATCCACTGTTTTTGGTTGCTCGAAAACCACAACTAAATCCAGGGGTCGGCGGCACTGGGCGGCAGCCCTTAAATCCGGCCACCGGACGTGATCGGGCCGCAGGCCAAAGCCCGTTAGGGCTTACCTTCAGGTATAAGGCCGCGCGCCCCATGCCGCCGACCATGCGCGGACCATGAAGGTAGGTTTTGCGCTGGGCCCGCCCTTATAAGGGGCGAAGGATTTGCGGATTGGTTTCGGCGATTTTTGTAGCATCTCCCCGCGGCGTCCAAAAACGAGCGTTTTTAGGGGGTGCCTAATACTGGACAACACCCCCAGCATTGCCAGCATCATCCCGGATGATGCGGATGATGCTATGCATGCTGGCGATGCGGGGGATGTTGCCCCCTAAGTCGGGCCAATTTTGCCGAAAACGTGCAACCTGAAAATCTTAAAATCTGAAGTGGATGGAAAATGGCCTGGATTGAAATCTCAAAATCCTAAAGTCTTAGATTCTTAAAATCGTAAATTAAATCTAACAATCAATCTTAGAATCTCGAGATCTTAAAATCTTGGAACTTAGAATCTTAAAATCTAAAAATATAAAAACTTCCTAAAGTCTTCGAATCTTGAAATCTTAAAAACCTTATGTCTTAGAATCTTGAGATCTTAAACTCTTAAAATATGAAATCTTAGAACCTTAATTCTTAAACCATTGAAACCTTAAATTCCGAAAGTCTTCAAATCTAAAACCCTTAGAATCTCAAAGTTTTTCGAATTTTAAAATCTTAACACCTACTCATCGGACTTACAGGAAAGGGAAGTGACAGAAACCCTCATGTCTTTGAATCTTCAGATGTTAAAATCTTTAAATATGAAACTTCTAAATTCTCAAAATCTTAAAATCTCAGAATCTTAAAAGCTTCAAAAACTTAAATTCTTTACATCTCGAACTATTGCAATCTGAAAATCTTAAATTCATAAACAAGTAAAATATAATAAAATTCCTTCAACCCGGGCAATATTCTAAATTCCTTAACCTCTTAATCTTCAAATTTTGCAGTCTTAACATCTTACGATCTTAAAATCTTAAATTCCGAAAGTCGCCAAATCTGAAAATCTCACACAAAATACAATCTTAAAGCCTTGGATGGAAAATGGCTGGGCAATGGCCTGGCTGTTATAACCTTCAAAAGCCTTAAATCTTTGAATCTTCAAACCTTAATTCTTCAACCATTAAAACCTTAAATTCCGAAAGTCTTCAAATCTGAGACCCTTAGAATCTCAAAGTTTTTAGAATTTTAAGATCTTAACATCGGACGTGATCGGGCCGCAGGCCAAAGCCCGGTAGGGCTTACCTTCAGGTATAAGGCCGCGCGCCCCATGCCGCCGACCATGAGCGGACCATGAAGGTAGGTTTTGCGCTGGGCCCGCCCTTATAAGGGGCGAAGGATTTGCGGATTGGTTTCGGCGATTTTTGTAGCATCTCCCCGCGGCGTCCAAAAACGAGCGTTTTTAAGGGGTGCCTAATACTGGACAACACCCCCAGCATTGCCAGCATCATCCCGGATGATGCGGATGATGCTATGCATGCTGGCGATGCGGGGGATGCTGGGGATGTTGTCCCCTAAGTCGGGCCAATTTTGCCGAAAACGTGCAACCTGAAAATCTTAAAATCTAAAGTGGATGGAAAATGAATGGAAAA